ATGGACGATGGGATCGTCTATCGACCCAACCCTAATGGAAACATGGCTAATAAAGTCATGATTTGAATTATATAATGATAATGTACTCGTACGATATGATATTATCAAAATATCAAACATAAATAGTCAAACATAAATAAGATGATTTTATTTGTAGTAAAGACATACTGTTAATTAAAATCCTACATTTCGAATGGATGTTGGTGGACTTGAATAAACTTAGTCCGCTAAAATACAAATATTTATGATTATGATGGTGAATGGTTGATTTAGAAATTTACGTGCCTTCATTCGGTCAATAACGACATATAACTGGGCAGTTTTTTTATAAGCACAGTCATCGATTTAGCATTATATTTGATCTTACATATTTAAATGACACATGATAACAGAAGGGGTGTCTGTTCTTAACATTTTTATTAAATCACATGATATACCAGTTATCAATCAAACATTTAATCACTTATTGTACTGGGTCATCTTGATATAACAATGCATATTCCATTAACAAAACTGCTAAATAAAACTGAAATACAAAAGAAGCTTAATTTAGAAGTAGGATTCTCAATAGATGGAAAAATGTAAATAATTCACACGATATATCGGGCACCATGTGACATGTTTCAATAGTTGCCAAGAAAAAACCCAAATGTATATGCTTCAAAGGCATTATAATAGAACACAAGTCAATTATTGATCATCATTACATAAAGAAGCTTTAGACGTCCGTATGTTGTTTGTTTTAAATACATCATTCAATATAAGATGAGTTACTAGCTTATTCTGTCTGAGGAAGACTTGGAGGCTGCTCGCATAACTGTTATTGTGTTTTTTTTTTAGTGCAGCACAGGATGAATCATCCTCTTTTTAAAAAGTGTAAAGGTCAAATAAGCCAGAATTATTGTGAGCAACAAAAGAAAAATAATGGGGAAAAGAGAGGCAAGGCATATATGATCAGACAGCATTGTTTGATGAATTGACTCTTTAGAGTAGTTGCTTTGTGTCACTAACGTCTCAAAGGATTTGAACTGAATCTTTTACAGTCTCAAAGTGTATGATATCTCTTTACAGAGTTGATATGACTGCCAATTGAAATCAGTGTCAATGAAAGGCTAACTTCAAAAAGCTGCTGTACATTTTTACTGATTTCTCGACTCACGCTGAGTGCACTGACTGCTCCTTTGAAAGTCATATAAAGCTGGATGAAATAAGAGGAAAGGGTTTAGATGAAATGCTAATACAAGTGGTCACAAGTAAAACACTGGATGAATGTTTAAGGGATATACATTTATTCATTTTCCTTCGGCTTAGTCCCTTGATTCATCAGGGGTCGCCACAGAAGAATGAACCGCCAACTTATCCAGCATATGTTTTACACAGTAGATGCCCTTACAGCTGTAACCCATCAATAGGAAACACCCATACACTCTCACATTCACACACGTACACTACGGACAATTTAGTTTATCCAATTCACCTATAGCGCATGTCTTGTGGCTTATGAGAGAAACCGGAGGACCTGGAGGAAACCCACGCCAACACGGGGAGAACATGCAAACTCCACACAGAAATACAAACTAACCCAGCCGAGGCTTGAACCAGCGACCTTCTTGCTGTGAGGCGACAGCACTACCCACTGCACTAACGCGCCACCCACTGTTAAAAGGATAGTTCACGCAAAATTTAAATTGTCATTTACTCCCTTTTTACTTGTTTTAACCTTTATAATAACCTTTCTTCTGTTTAACACAAAATAACATATTAACCTGCGCCCAGTTTTTGAGCATTTTCTTGACTTACCCAATTAAAATAGTCTAGCTTTTGAACCCTTTGCTCTTTGTTCACAAGTCTGGTTTTGTTTGAAACTAGACATTGGCTTGTTTTATTACTTAAGGGTCAAAATAACTCAAAGTAGTGAAGAAACATAGTAAAACGTGGTAAAACATAGGTGAATGTGATTTGCGATCAATTTTTTTTTTTTTTTTTTTTAAGTTTCAATGAAATTCATTAGAGAAAAAGTGGATGTGACTATCAGGAGAATGGCATTAAACCATCAAAAAGATTAAGCTGAATGTCTGACTATTTTGAATCAAATTTGAGGATGATACTCAAATGTAGCTTCTGTAAGCTGTTATTTTAAAAAGAAAAGAGAGCTGGAAACCTGTAACCATCGACTACAATAGTATTTGTTTTTCCTCCAGTCTTAAACAGAAGAAAGAAGCTCATCATGGTTTGGAACCACTTGAGGATGAGTAAATAGTGAGTAAATGTTCATTTTTGGGTAAACTGTGCCTCTAATTCCAGGTGGAAACAGGGCCTAAAGGTTTTAATCCACTCACAATCATTTAAAAAAATCGTGATTTACTTTTTTACTTTTTAATTACCAAACATTTTGGTAATAAAACAATTTGGATTCATTGTTTTCCATTCTGGATGTTTGATTAGCTTAGCAGCTTTTATAATTCTCTCATCAGTTTCTCTCTCTCCATGTTTCCCATGCAACAGTTTTTGCTGCTTTTTTTTTTTTTTACAGTTTTTAATATGTGTAGTTCTTGATGTTAAGTGTGAGCTTTGCTGAAAACATAAATTTGTGAATCTGATCTTCACACATATATGCTTAACTGAGGTCAGTTGAAGTTCACTCAGTTCAGGCAATTTGTGCTTGGTCCATCACCCCATGTGGATACCAAACAGTGCTCTTGGCTTTATACTTATGAGATGTCTGGGAGATGTATGAAAAGAGCAGCAACTTTTCTTGAAAGCACTATTTGGATGGGAATAGTTCTCCCTGAGGAATTAAATGTATGTTTCACATTCTTTCATATTGATTTTAATCATGTCCAAATCTGTTTTTCACTCAGGGACATATTCAGTGCAAGTTTTTTTCGTCTACTTGTGGTTCCTCTGAGAAACCAAACGCCATCTGGGTAAAATATCCTTGAATGCTGGGGGTTATTGTATCGTAATGTTTTCTCTAATTTGTTCTGACATTCATTGAATACTGCAACTAAAGCAAAAAAATATAGTTGTGCTGCCCCGTGAACTTTCAATATGGATTTAGACCTTTTTGCCAGCTTTCTGGGTGAAATAACAGTTGGTGGTTCATGTGCTGCTGGCATCTCATCTGATTTAAAAAGAAACCGAAATCATTAAGGAAAGTCACAGACTGCACTGAACACCGACTGTAGAGCAGCGTCTGGCCTGGTCCTCATCATTCATTAATTCTTTCTCTTTAATTATGCACCTAATGTTGTAGTAGATTTCAAAGTTTGGTTAATTTCATTGGGTCATCTTCAGGAACAAGTGTTGTTGGTGTCAAATGGCACATGAAGTCTCAGATTTGATTATTAAGTTCTCAAAAATTAGTTTATAAAGTTGTTGTTTTTTTTAACCAAAAAAAGTTTAAATTTGTAACAAGTATACATTTCCCTAGGAAAATAACTCCCAGACTGCTTAAATGTCAATAATGGATGAAAGTTATTGGTTTGTATTTTGGAAAAGTTTTGCATATACTGTTGATGATAATATTATCTCCATCATTGCAGCCTCTATTCACATTATTTTCATATTATGAATCCTCAAAACACAAAGTTATGTATTGGCTGGCTTCATTACACTTTAACGTTGTCTTTATAGCATGTGTATTGATACTGAAGATGGTGCACTGTTACAGCCAGCTCTTAAGCTACAACAAAAAGGAGGACCAGACGCAACCATCGTAGGCAAAATAACATTTAACATAATAACGTGAATAATATAAAGTAAATAAAACAGTCAGGGCCAAATGGAACAGTCAAAGTTTAACCGAGCTCCATGCCAAGTCGATCGCTAAGATCCCCAGTCTCCTAAGAGCACACCAAACACTGTTTATATCCACATCTTAACAAATCACCTTTAACCTGTAATTGAAATGCATGCACTCATCACATGCACTATGGAAGAGCCATAGATGTGTCAAATAGATACATTTGACATATAGATAAAACCTAGATAAATTCAACAGCCTGTTTCTTTATAAAAATTGTATTTGCTCAATTGCTTAGATTCTAAAAGTACTATTATCTCTTAAGATGGCGTAAGAAATGTATAATTTTTTTTAATTTATTGCCAGTGGTTGCAATATTCAACTCTGGCAAAGATATCTGATATGGGTATGTGCTGATTTTATTATCAATACTCAGACAGTAATGTTTTGTGTCTTTATAGCATTTAAAGGCACCTATGATATTTATCTTCTTTTGTTAGGACAGAACTGTGTTTAGGTATAGTGTCTCTACTGTAATATTTGGGTGATATAAAGACAATGTCTCTTTTTTTTTTTTTTTTTCTCAATTTCCTGATGTTAAAATAGGATCCAAATCCCTCCGCAACATGACGTAGGAGAACTGAAGTGAATTGATTGACAGCCGCATATTAACATGTCTCTGTAGTAACCTGATAACCATATCAATATAGAATGTGCACAAAGCAACTGGATTTACAAGATTTGTTTAGCTCGCTGTGATCATCAGTCATCAAATGTGATCAAGAATGAGTTTTATAAGTTTATAACATTTTTAAAATGGTGCATGTTTGTAATGAATTACAGCGAATAATTTTTTTTTTTTTTTTTTTTTTTTACCATCTTGATCACCACAGCCGCATGTCAGTAAAATTATAAAAGAAGACGCTTCGATCCTGGTTTGTGGATGTTAAATCAGGTTCATTTTGTACATTAACATAATGGATATCCATACAACAGTGGAAATTAACACGTAACCTGTCACTTTGCCGTGTAAAGTTACATATTTTTCAACAAAAGATATGTTATACACTGTAGAGAATATATCATAGAACTATCTGTTGTGAAGAAAAAAAAATCAGCTGCTCAGAAATGTCATTAAAATAAGTTTGCAAATGCTATGCAGAGGTTTTTTTTTTTTTTGAGGTACAATTTTGTTTTATTTTTTTCACATCATCTGACAACATCTGAATATGAGACGCATAATTTTTCTGCACAGGAAATGACTCTAGAGGAGAGACAACTAATCATGGATCTGAAAAAGTGTGATTTTGGGGAGCTCCATGCCATGCATAAGGAGAAGGTGGAAGCCAGGAAAAACCTGAGCAAAGAGGAGAAGTTGGTGTGTCTGTAACATTAAAAACTATTTTAATATAAATCAAAGTTACAATCTTTTAATAGAGCGCTGCATCACTCAGACTAAATAACCAATGTTCCTCTGAATTCTCCAGGTTAATAAAGAGGCCAATCAAAAAATAGTCGACGAATATGGGTTCTGTGTGTTGGACCACCATCGTGAACGCATTGGCAACTTTAAGATTGAACCTCCAGGTCTTTTCCGAGGCAGAGGAGACCATCCTAAACAGGGAATGCTGAAGAAGAGGATTCGACCTGAGGATGTTATCATCAACTGCAGCAAGTGAGGCTTTTCATATCTTAACAGTCCCAAGTCAGCACAACTTTTTCTGTTCGTATTATGCGGTAAGAAGTGGAATCATGTCTGTAGCTCTGTGTATGCAAGGCCTAACAAAAGCACATTGCAGATATATCATAGTAAGTTGTCAAATAGGAAAAAAGATATTTTCACTTGAGAGCAGTGTGCAATGCAATGTCGAGTGTTTTTTTTTAACTGTTCAGAGAAAATTGTAAGTATGAATGTACCCCACAGAGAATCTCGTATCCCAGAAGCCCCAGCCGGTCACAAATGGAAGGAAGTTCGTCATGACAAAACCGTAACATGGCTAGCAAGCTGGACGGAGAATGTTCAAGGATCCTGTAAATATGTAATGCTCAATGCCAACTCCAAACTTAAGGTATGTGTTCTATTTTGTGCACTATTTAATGTTTAAAGGGATCATGAATGGAGAAAGCTAAATTTCCTTGATCTTTAGAAAACAAGTCATTATACTAAAGAAATGTTATGCAAGTTTAGGAACTTTAAGATTTTCTTTTTACATTCTCATGAAAGCAAATCCTCCAAACACAGGTTGTGAAATGTGTTTTTATTGCAACACTGTGACTGTAACTTACTGTTAGCTCCACCCATAGATTTTCACTTGTGTCGTAACAAACTGGAAAAATGCAGCCGTTGAATTGCTTTTCTTTTGATCTCAATATTAGAAGAGTGGATAGACTTTATTTTTAGTGAAGTTCCAGATATTTTACACTTAAAGCTTCTTTTAAAGACACTCATTGTACACTATCAAAATCACACTCTTAATATTTTGTTGGACAGCCTTTCTCCACAGTCCAAAGACAAGTCCAAAGTACAGGTTGATTAAATAAACTAAATTGGCTGTAATGTGTGGATGGGAGTTTATAAGTGCAACCATCAATTCTGGGTTGTGACTGGAAGGGCATTAAACAATTGGCAGAGATATTGGAGAATCATTCCACTGTGGCGACTCCTGATAAAGCAGCAAATAAGCCGAAGGACAGTATTTGGGCAAGAAGCAAAGTTGAAGTTAGAAAAGGGATTGAGAAAGGTCTGCAAGCTGGGTTTGAACTCGGGACACTAGAAGCTCAGTTGTGTTGGCAAACATGTTGACGCGATGACTACGAGGCTATTGGTGCCTTTTCTTTGCTGTCATGTAAAGTCTTCTACAGCACATCCAAAGATTGTCAATAGGTTTAAGGTCTGGACTCTGTGGTGGCCAACCCATCTGATTAATGATGTATCATGCTCCCAGTCATTATTTTAGACTGATCAATTCTGGCAGTCATCTTGGAGTATGCCTGGTTCTGATCGTTTCTCACCATGCCTCCAGTATTTAATGAAGCAGTATGCAGTTCTTAACCTAATATTAGCAGTTTTAGCAGTCTCCTTCGAGGAATCCTTCTTTGCTGGATGCATGCTAATAATTTGACATTTTACATGGCTGCTGGATGCGTCATCTGTGGTCATGGTTAAGAAATGAGAAGCTACTCATTGCATCAGTTGGTGTTAAATAGCTTCTTACCAGATGAAATCTCTTCATCCATGCAGTAATTATCCAATGGGAGGCTCTTACTTACTTGCTAAGTTGACTCTATATGGTGACTTTTAACTTGGGTGGGCAGTGTATTCATGGAAAAAATATTTATTGTAAAAGTTCATATACGTACAAATACTGTTTCAACAGCATGGTGAGGTTACATCATTTGGTGTGCTTTAAGAGTCTTTTAAAGCTTTATAATTTATAATAAAAATCAATTTTCCTCTTTCAAGAAAGTTTTGACTTCTGAAACTTGACTGCGCTCTAAGTTTCTAGTTTTTGCTCGGAATAAGCTGCAGTCTGAGCGTAACCATGCTGTTAAGAGTCTGGCTACGTGATGGAAATATTTCACTGACAACCTTATCCTTCACTTGATTAAAGCGTAATTGTTGCCCTCTGCTTTCTCTCTCTGTCTGCACATTCCTTCGTTTCCAACTCCTCTTCACGTCCTCTTCACCTCATGACTGTCTGTTTTTGTCACCTTGTTAATAATAGATGTGATTTGATGTCGCCTTTTAGTGCCGAGTCCGGGCCAATCAAACAGAGCAGACGTGTATTCTCGTGTTCTGCCGAATCACGCTCGCTTAGTTTCAGCTCAGCACCTCATCTTCACCCTCGTTCCACTCACTTCCTTTTATTAATTAAATTAGGAATCAAAGCGATCCTTTCCATCAGAACTCTGTGATGGACGACTCAAGAAGCCAAATGATTGTAACTGAATAAGAACAGATTCAAAATCCAGTCGCATCATTTGATTTCTTTCTGATTGGTCTTCATTTGTCTGTCTGTTTCCTGTTGCTTTCTTTGTGCTGCATTAGTATTACTTTATTTTTTACCATGTTGGTCACTTTACTGTTGCTGTGGCAACAAAGTAACTTTTAAAAGTAACTTTAATCTGCAAATTAGGGTGGCTGAAATCTGGCAGTCTGACATTCTATTACTATTTTTAAGACCTGTCAGGTTTTTTTTTATTGTTTTTAATTACTTTTATTGGAATTTTCTTTGTTTGTATTTCCCTCCATTTTTCTGCTCACAATATGAGTTTTTTATGTATTTATTGTTTATTTTATTGTTGCAAAATTGTTATGTTTGTCTGAGATAATTAGTCTTACCAAAGCCTATCGGTCAATTCTTGTAACGTGATCTGCGGTGCACTTGCGAGATTCATTCAACTGGGTGTATCTGGTCTTTTTTTTTTTATTTTATTTTTTTTTTTTATTGATTGTCAATATCGATTAAAAAAATAATTAAAAATTTGGTTTGAAGTTTCGGTATGAAACGCTACAGTTTTAAAAATTGTGGCTGCTGATCGTGCACCTTGAAAGCAGTGCTAATAAGCTTAGGGTGGCAGTTTGTCATTTCCAAAGGAGATTTTTCCAGGATTTTCACAATTTTCAAATTTTCCAGCCGCACATAGTTGAAAACATCTAAACTTTTCCGAATGTTGCGAGCGCACAGTGATTCGTGTAAGTAGAACCAACCAACCTGGTCACACTGTATGGAATATACACATTTCAGTTATAACGGCAGACTAATTACCTCAGACAAACACAAAGCATCCAAACACCGCAGTGCTTTTTACTTTCCGAGCGCACACGCTTGTCACTTCAGGTCAAAAAAACAACACACGCAAAAATGAGTGTCGTATAGCAGCAGTGAGGAGATTGTAGAAAAAAATAATAATAAAAATAATTCCAGCCACTAGCCCCCCCATCTGAAAGATTTTTTAGCATTGGGGTTAATATAGTCATCCAACTTCACAATTTGTAATGTTCAGTATGTATTTAAAAAATGATGGTTGGTTAGCTCACTTGAAAGCTCAGATTTGATTATTATAATTTGAGTTGTTGACAGAGTCCGAGGTTTATTGTATGATTATTATTCACATCTTAAAGTTAGCTTTGATTGTTCAGTATTTACGCTTTACCATTTCACACACTTTGAAACATTTTTTCTATCAAGTATAAGAGTCTCTTCAACACTTATGCTTATTTTATTATAAAGACATCAGATATTTTGTTTAAATATTTTTGCTTTTGACAATAAAACTATTTTCCTTAGTAATGTTGGTAAATTAAAACAAAGCGGTTAAATAACAAAAAAATAATAATAATCATAATGTACCTTAATGTATTGTAAAAAAAATATTCAATATTTATCTATATCGAGTGATATAAAACATGATATCATGATCATTCTTTTTGCAATATCACCCAGTCCTATGTCAAGCTATAATTTAGAAGTAAATTAAAGTCACAGAAAATCTTTTTCTTGAAGATTTAAACAAATGCTGCAGATCAACACATCTAAGTTCAATCTTTATTAAATACAATGAGTTTTGTCATAAATTCCTTATCCTTTATCTTTTCGGTAGGACATATGTTTGAGACTATTACAGTCAGTTAGCTAAAACTTAACACCATATTGAAGCCTAATGTCACTAAATCTCCTGACATCTTGAAATCTTAATATTATTCTTTAGCTCCCATCAGAATCCAATCATTTTCTTAAGAATAAGATGGTACTTTAAGACGCACTACTCATGATACTGTACGCCAGGTCATTTAGTTCCTTGCTTTACTTTGCTGCTTCTTTGTTTGTTTAGGGTGAGAAGGATTGGGAAAAGTATGAAGTGGCCCGTAAACTGAAGACGTGTGTGGATGCCATCCGAACCCAGTACCAGGAGGACCTCAAGTCCAAACAAATGGGCACACGCCAGAGAGCCGTAGCCCTTTACTTCATTGACAAGGTCAGGCCACGAAAGCATCACAGACATAATTTGTGATCCTGCACTACATAAGTAAGCTTTCAGTCATGACGATTTGATTTTAGAAAAAAAAATAAAAAAATAGGGTTAGAGTGTACAGTTAATCAGTTCATGTCAATTAAGCTGCTCGTTGAGAATAAATACAGCAGAGAGTGAGGAAATGACACAGAACAGCATGGGGCATTTACTCTGGGGTTTACATTTGTATAAAATCTTACACCACTTTCGCAGGTGTTCACTTTGAAGAGATCTTATCATTAATTTTTTTTTTTTTTTCCTTCACTGTGGTCAAATTGAGTTCTTTGAGGCATTATTTAATTTAGCTTTTTGGAATTTTAACACCTGTTTCACTGTGTGCATGGGCCAGATGAGACAATAGTATTTTAACCTGTATTTAAATTAAAGAGTCACATTAAGCACAGAAACCAGTATTTTTTTTATGGTTGCAGCTCATGACATGTTCTACTTTTGATTTTTTTAGATGTCTTTGGTCAATGTTTCAGTCTAACTGCGCAAGTTCGTTTGTAAAGAGACGAGCCTACTCTTTCATTGATTTGTGTGTGTGTTTACCAGGGATCGAATAGAAGTTCAAATTAACCACTTTAACAGAGCTGTCACAACAGAGTTTGTTTTTATTCAGCCAAACCTGCCAAGTGTGAACACACTCTCTCTATATTTTTAATCTCGGAATTTTGACTTTCTTGCAAATGCAAGTATATTTAATAGTTTCTTTGTTTTGTTATTCTCAGAGCTGTGACTTCTCTTATGAACATCTTTTTATCATTCTGAAAAACATGTGCATACAAAAACAAACCAGTTCTGTGTGGTGATACTGGATCAGATGTTACATCTAGTATTAAAGTTAACTCTAATTACATTTAATTCTACCATAATCAGTGTTTCTGCAGGGTCTTAAAGTCTTAAAATGTCTTAAATCTCAAAATCTAAATTTTAGGCCTTAAAAAGTCTTAAAATCACTGAAATAATGTGCTGTAGGTCTTAAATCTTGTTTAAACAGGTCCTAATTTTCCTTTGTTCATAAATTGCTACCCAATCTGGATTGCATCGCAATAGATCTTTTTATTTTAAAAAAAGGTCATTTTTAACTTTGTCATAATGGTTGAATTGTTTTCCTTAAAATAAAATTTCTTTAAAAGTTCTCCATGTTGATTTAGTTTATTATAGTTTTTAAAACATTAAAGAAAAGTTAAAGTTTAATGAAAAAAATGAAAAAAGTGTATGAATACAAGTAGATTTTGCTTGTTTTTGCACAATATTAAAAATATTTTTTATCGAAAATATGATTTTTTTTTATTATGAATGTATTATTGTATTAATAAATGTATTCAATTATAATAAAGCATTTTTTTTGATAGGGCAAATAAAAATCTTTTCCATCTGGACCACTTGAAAAAATCCTTAGGTTTTAGCTCTTTATGTGTTTAAAATTTCAGTCATAATGGTCTTAAAAATGTATTCAAAAGACTCACATTTTACTATGTGAAACCTGCAGAAACCCTGATAATGCAGCTTTCAGTCCAAACATATTCGCAAACAGCCAAGAATTTGCTCTAAGGTGGTCTGGGAATGCTGTGTCATGTCTTCGTGTCTGTGTTAAACTCTTCAGCTGGCTCTGAGAGCAGGTAATGAAAAGGAAGAGGGCGAGACGGCAGACACCGTGGGTTGTTGTTCACTCCGCGTGGAGCACATCACTTTACACGATGCACTGGACGACCAGAAGTGTGTGGTAGAGTTCGACTTCCTGGGTAAAGATTGCATCCGCTACTACAACAAGGTTCCTGTGACCAAAAGGGTGAGAACCTTTCAAAATATTAATTTCATGACTGATGCCTGATGTTTTTAATGTATCATTGATGTAATATTGAGATGAATAGTGAATAGAGAAAATAGTGGCTAGGTCATGTGTGATGCTGGTGGAGGGAAATGTTTTTTGACATTCTCCTTCAAAACGCCCCAAAGTGGCTCAATAATATTAAGATCTGCTGACTGTGCAGGCCATGGGAGATGTTCAATGTCACTTTCATGATCATCAAACCACTCTGTCACCAGTCTTGCTGTGTATATTAGTGCATTACCATCCTAATACACAGCACCACCGAGATACAATCTTTGAACCCCTGGGTATGCATGGTCCTCCAGAATGGTTTTGTAGTCCTGGGCAGTGACACTCAATCTAGTAGGAGTATTGGGCCTATGGAATGCAATGATATTGCAGTCCAAACCATCACTGATCCATCTCCATGCTTCACTCTTTGTATGCAGCAGTCTGTGTGGTACGCTTCTTTCGGGCTTCTCCACACCGTAATTCTCCAGGATGTGGGAAAGACAGTGAAGATGGACTCATCGGAGAGCAATACATGTTTCACATTGTTCACACCCCAAGATTTTGACCAATTGTAATCACATAACCAGATGGGATTTAAACCTTGCCATCTGAAGCCATAAGTTTGATGGAAACAAAGAATAAATAAAAAACGTCCTGATAATAGCACAAACCCAGAGTGTTTGTCTTTGTTTTTCAGCTGTCAGAGCCGAAACCAAAGATGAAGCTCCTTGCATTTTTATTTTGTTTACATTTTTACATTCATATGTAAATTCTAAAAGTTTCACAATGTTAGATTGAAAGATTAGGAAAAGAGCCAATACATAGAGCAGCCCATAGACCCTTCAAATAAATCAGGAAAGTGGTCAAAGGCAGACAAAGGCGACTGATTAAAACACCAGGTCTAATTGGGAATGTGTCTCTCCATCGTCTACTTGTAATCCCATTGACCAAAACAATTGTGTAAACATGCCTTAATTACCATGGTCATAACAGGTGGGTGATTATTATTGCAGCACAGCTATAGAAAGTTTTGTGTCTGCTGTTTGCTAGCATTCAGATCATGCAAAAGCAGTACTGTGTGATTTCTATGCTCTGACACTCGGCGACGTTGTTTACTTGCATAGGTTTCATAATGTAAATGAGAACATTTAAACGAAGCTAATCAAGTCAGAATTAATTAGTTACTGAATTTCTTGAGAGTTTTATATTGGGCGACAGGCAGACTTTGCAGAAATGTCAGATATAATTGCAGGTATCGGGAAAACCAACCCCCACTTTCTCTTCACCCTGTTTACAAGAATAATGAATAACAATTAAAGCCTTTGGAAGTTTGTGTGACATGACCTGGAACTGGTCTGTGATTTTTAGTTTCATTAGTGTCAATAAGCAGTTATTATTATTTAATTTTTATAGAATAAGATATGACACTTAAATGTATATCAAAGACTGCACATTCAGTCAGCAAAACACTGAATGTGTAATACAACTTTAAAAAGGGCACATACTAAAGCATGAATATGTATATATGTAATTCTTTTTTTATAAATATGAAAATATATGATTTGCTAGTTAGGGGTATCTTTAGATGCCTTATGTCTTATATTGCTGCACCCCAAAGTAGTTTTAATTGTATACAACCAGCCATTTAAACCATAAACCTTGTAAGTACATGTAGGTCAAATAAATTTGTTAAAATATCTCTTACATGAAAAATGGATCAATTTAACATACTTTACTGCAGAAAAGTCATTTAAAATGGATTCAAAAGTCACTTTTCTTATAATTACTCTTCGTTGAGTGTACTTTGTATGTGCTGTACATGAAATGCTGTGGACATCAAAATGGGATGTTTCCTCTCTTACCCATACACTCGCCGGCCACTTTATTAGGCAAACCTGTCTAACTGCTTGTTAAAGCAAAATTTTTAATCAGCGAATCACATGGTAGCAACTCAACTCATTTATGCATGAACATGGCTCAAGATGATCTGCTGCAGTTCAAACTGAGCATCAGAATGGGGAAAAAAAAGGTGTTTTAAATTGCTTCGAACATGGCATGGTTGTTGGTAACATGGCTATTTCAGAAAATGCTGATCTACTGGGATTTTCATGCACAGCCGTCTCTAGGGTTTACAGAGAATGGTCAGAAAAAGAGAAAATATCCAGTGAGCGGCAGTTCTGTGGGCGCAAATGCCTTGTTGATGCCAGAGGTCAGAGGAGAATGGCCAGACTGGTTTGACCTGATAGAACAGCAACAGTAACTCAAATAACCACTCCTACAGCCGAGGTATGGAGAAGAGCACCTCTGAACGCACAACATGTCCAACCTTGAGGCGGATGGGCTACATTAGCAGAAGAGAACACCGGGTGCTACTCCTTTCATCTAAGAACAGGAAACTGAGTCTACAATTTGCACAGGCTCACCAAAATTGGACAATTAAAGATTGGAAAAGCGTTGCCTGGTCTGATGACTCTCGATTTCTGCTGTGACATTCGGATGGTAGAGTAAAAAACATGAAAACATGAAAGCATGGATTCATCCTGCCTTGTATCAACGGTTCAGGCTGTTGGTGGTGGTGTAATGGTACTAATAGGCACAAAGTTTGCCAAAAAAATACACCAACTGAGCGTTGTGTCAACACCACACCGAGTATTGTTGCTGACCATGTCCATCCCTTTATGGCCACAGTGTACCCATCTTCTGATGGCTATTTCCAGCAGGATAACACACCATGTCAAAAAGCATGAATAATCTCAAACAGATTTCCTCAATAGGAACAATGACACCACTTAAATGGCCTCCACAGTCACCAGAGCTCAATCCAATAGAGCACCTTTGGGATGTGGTGGAATGGGAGATTTGCATCATGACTATTCTGACAATATTGCAGCACCAGAGTAATGCTATTCTGTTAATATGGACCAAAATCTCCAATTAATATTTCCACTACCTTGTTGAATCTATGTAATGGAGGATTAAAGTAGTTCTTAAAAACTCATGATACACTATTAATAGGTAAATACTGTTAAGAACAATTCTGTCAACTAGAGGCCAATTAGAATGATTAAATGTTTGTCTTGTATCATCGAAAATCATGCTGGAGAACTTAATTATATAGTTTTACACAAACTTGTGTATTTCATGCAGCTCAGGTGCAAATTATGGAGTGATTTAGTAGTATAAAGGATTGAACAAAAACTGAGGCAATGTGAAATTTGCATTCATTAGGCTTTTTACTCAAACTATTATTATGCTGATAATATTTGTAATGAGAAATGTTGTTCTACATTAGAAAAATGCAAAAAGAAACTCTCTCACTAGCACGCTGACAGTTTTGGGCCCACATTATCCGCTGTTGAATATGTGATCCTGTTAAATGTTGATTTCCCCCTCAATGTGCTTATTAGACAGGAAGGTCAGCATATGAATCAATCATTACCAACATACGACCATGTCAAATTGGGGGGAAAATTGTTCCAGAAATACAAATTCTGTCATTGCTTGGCGAGCGGTCTGTTTACTTTCTTCTTCATGCATTTGGCTCAAGGATAAATTGTTATTCAAATGAGGCTGATTTAAAAGCACCACATCTGCTACCATTAATTAGTTCCATGCATATTTTAGCTGGTTTATTTAGTAGGAGTAGAGGAAAACAGGACTTCTGCAAAATGTCAAATATAATTGAGAGTGTGTCTCTCTCTCTCTACAACCTCAGTTCTGTGCATATGATAAACAAGCTAACATGTGTTTTCTGTTTCAGGTTTTTAAAAACCTCAAGCTTTTCATGGAAAACAAGCAAGGAGGAGACGACCTCTTTGATCGACTCAATGTGAGTGTAATGTTCTGAAACGGCGGCAGACAGTCATAGATTTTTCATTCTGAGGGATCCGATTCTCAAGAGGCTTGCGTCAAAAGAGCGTGCTTTTTTTTCTTTTCTGCTTTTTTTTTAAACGTATTTCAGTCTTAATTTTTACAGCCAAATAATTTTACCCTCAATGAAGGACAGAGAGACAGATTGTGAGGGGAAACTGGAAAACTGTGTGCATGTGTGAGAGAGAAAGACAGTGACAGAGAGAGAGAAATGTGCCCCCTCGATGAGGTCAGGTTAGTAATGGTGGGCCATCGTGGAGGGGGATCGTTAATCTGTACTTTGGGCTCTTCCGATTGACACGGCGAAAGGCCGAGTGAAGGGTTGAACGAGGAAGGATGCGGCAGAGACTCTAATACTGGCCCTATTCTACAAAGTGCTGCAAATCTTATTACATGCCGCTGTGCTTTTAAGCTTGTGTGTGTGTGTGTTGCTAGGAGAAAATAAATGCTGTGCACTTGGCTGAACTCTCAACCGAACAGATGCTGATTTGTATATTACATATAATCAATATCAAGGAGGATACTTGCTGTATAGTGGGTTTAAACTCGTACTGCTGCATTTATGCTATTTCTTTGCAAAGGGGTTTGTGGCGTTCCAGCACACTAAAACGCTAGATAAATAACAAACTCCAACTGAAAGAGTTTGCACTATAAGTTTATGCTGTTTTGCTATTGAATGACATTTTTGTGTTTGTGTTGTACCAGTATACAATAAAACAGGAGAGATGTACTTTAAACTTCAGCTGAAAGAATATTGTGAGCTTTATGCTTATGTTCTCTCTTTAGCTATTGAATACCATGTTTGGTTTGGTCTTATTTTGCTAGCTAGTTATGTTGGAGACATTGCCTGCCTGCCACTTTTTGTTTGTATTTACTTGTTAGCTAGTTATGTTGAATGTATGACTATTTTTTTGTTTTTTGTAGTTGGAGTTTTATTTAGTTGATTTTGATCAGTTTGGCTTGGGTAAAGATGTAGGCTTTTTTCCCTCGGACTAACATTTGTTTTCTGTTGTTATGGAAGCGCTGCGTTTTTGAAATGGCAGCAGTGTAGCGAGGCGCTGAGATTGTGTTTTTGGTGAATCGCTGAGCACTCCATGTTTTTAAAATTCAGTGGCTGACTTTTTAGCAGCACAGAACCACTTTGGTGGACACACGCTCTTATTGCTTTTGTATTGTAATAATAGTTAGATATCTTTAAGATACATTTTTTTGTGGTTATACTTTTATCTTCACTGGAGTCACACTAAAGCTTTGATCACATCAAAAGCACTTTTTGCATTAAGTGACACCTTTTTTCAGTGGTTTACTAATGATGTACTGTAAACGTTTTGCACAGTTTATGGGCTCTGTGCGCTTTACATTTTTAACAGACTGCTGTGCCTCGAGTTTTTGTTGTTCTGCGATGTGCACCCACAGTTGAAAGAGTGTCAACTCTGAACAGAAAATGTTACATTAATCACGTTTTTTTTTTTTTCATCAATCAAATAAGCAGAGGCTGGGTTTTCAATGAGGTAATAGCCGTATATGTGTTGTCAGGATGACTACGGCGACTTTAAAGTCTCCAAAAAATGATAAATCTAAACTAATCATATGATTTTGTTAGTTCAACAACAACATTGAACAATTCGTGTTTATGTGATTAAGAAAAAAAATGCTCTTCTGATCTTTAATTGAAACACTTCATGTTTTTTTTTTTTTTTAAGTTGTAATAACTGTCCCCAAACCCTTTTCCCCATCTTTCTGATTGAAATGCTTATTTTATATAAATTCAGCTCACAGTAGAAAAAAAAAGCCATGTCCACGCTTTTGTCATTTAATATTTTGTTTCTCTAGGAACTCAGTCACAATAGGAAACAAATAACACTCGCAGCTTCCAGTTCATGCAGACTTTAAAAGAACACAAAACAAAGACCACAAGTCTCTCCTCATTATCCGGAACTATATGACTTCACAATTCTTGAACATCCCAATATTATTAAATATTAGGGATGCTCCGATCAGCTAATACAGACTACAGATTCCTTGTGATGGTGATCGGCAGATACCGAGCACTGATTCTGATGCTTCAAGCTTTATAATGCATAAATCACATTTCCTTATAAGTATGATACTTAAGTAGACTTTTCTCCTTAACATACAGTATAAATGAAGGATGCTGCATATAATTCCTTATACGCATCTCATCTCAGTGGACAAAACGCTGGTTATACAACGGCTGCAACAAAGAGAGCATCACTATAAACAATAAACAGTAATTTATTTATTCGCAAATAAATAAATTATTCACAATATTTTTTTTTCGCAAAAACTATAAACAGAGGTCACGACATCTGTACATGATGCGAGTGCAGTGATTCTTACGCGTTTTATCATTGCTGGTGTATAATACAGGTGTGCACATGCCTTTTGAACAAAACTCAAACACTTGCCAATCTAGCTGATCTCACCAACTGATTGCAAGTACAGATCAATTCCTAAAATGTGTATATTGCCCGATGCCGATTGGTCAAAGCATCCCTATTAAATATTACAATTCTAACAATATCAACTGCAGCACTTGTTTACAATACTTATCAGATTTAGTCATTGTCTAGCGACATAAAAAGTGAACCACACTTTATTATTTTTTCTGTCAAAATAGACAGTGTGTTGCGGCTCGCATTCTCAAAAAGGAAAAGTACGTTCAGTGTGATCTGCCCTTAAGCCATTCTTTATGAAGTGAACAAGCTGAAGATGTGAACTGACTGAGTGCATAATTCAATATTTTGCATGCCACAGTCGTTCCCTTATCTATTGTTTTGCCTCCTCTTTCTCAATTAGTATCAATACAATAGCAAAATCAAGACTTATTATACTAATACAACAGTTAGCAAAGAACATTGAGCATTTTTTTTCCCCCCTCGCAAGGGACATTGTGCTGCAGTTGTGTTCCCAGAAGTATTGCTCCGCTAAACACACATACACATAAGCTGAGTTCCTCTGAGTCACTGGGTGTCCTAACCAAAATGTCACAGTGTTCCCTGATGAACAGTGGCAAACAGAGCTAGATGTTCAACATGCGTCAAGTGTCTTTCCATGCGCGTGTCATTAGACAGCGGCTCATGTGCCACACTAGCAGTGGTTGACATGCTAGAACACGGGCGGCGTCATTAGCATTCAGTGTCTTTAAACACATCACATCTAGTTTCATTTAGATTCAGGTGACCGTTGTCTGCTGCCTCCTTTGATACCACACTTTTTGAACTTAACCTGTTTTCTTGCTGTTTGAGTATATGCATTTTACTCAGAGTTCGCTAACACAAACTTCATGCAATTGATATTACACTGGTTAAATTTCGGTTTATACTTCGCTACAATATGAGAATGAAAATGGAATGGTCAGAACTGCATTGCAATTCAGTTGTTTGAGCTGAGATAGTGGATAAGTTCCCATTGTGAGGCTTAAATAGGATGTTTGTATTACTGTACATACCAGTGCAGAATGATGACACATGTGGACTAAAAGTTGTATGAGGTCACATTGCAAAACATCTGGGGTCTCGTGTATCAACTCTGCATACGCACAAAAACTTTGCTTATGCCAAATTTCACTCTCGTTTCGTTCTCGCATTTGGATTTACTAACGATGAAGTAACGTGATTGTGCGTTGGTCCAAGCCAACTTCATGTCTGAAGTACATGTATTTCTTGTGTGTGTTTGTATTATTTCAATTGGTGACTCTTAAAGGCAATTATGTTAAATTGCACACTACAAAGTATCGCACCAACAAAGTATCCTGGCAACTGGTTCTTTCCGAAGGGAACAGGCAGAGCGCTCTGGGTTAAGCCAGTCGTCTATGAGACGTGCAATGCCAGCTGTATTAGATGGGATCATCCGCATGTCTAGCAGGCATTTAAGATTTCCATACCAAGCAGTTGACCAGCCAAACATTAAAGCGCAATTTGCTGCGATCGCCAGTTTTCCCAATGTAATCGGAGTGATCCACTGCACGCACATTTCTATAAAGGCACCATCTGAAGATGAATTTGCATACATGAATCGGAAACATTTCCATTCAATCAATGTGCAAATAATATGTGACGCTCAAATGTGATTGGGCAGCTGAAATGTTGGTGACGCTGTCTTGATAAGTGTGGAAGGGTGCTGCTATACCGCCCTAACTAAGTGTTCCTCTACATCTGTGTCTCCCACAGACACGGATACTACTCCAGACAGTAAAGTGTCGCCCAAAATTGAGGCAACTCTCTCCTCAAAGGGTGTTAGTTCCCCCGCCTGTTTGGTCCACACTTTGCCCGGTGCCCCGATGTTCTCCTCTTAACCTGCACCTTTACATTTGTCTATTTCTTTTTTTTTATTCACTCACAGTGCGATGTTCAGACCCCACTGTGTTAACCGCGTCAGCTAAACTCTCCCACTCTATTAGAGGACAAACTTGCAAATAACAGTTTTCTCCTGTCTACCTCTGATAGGAGCGCCTCCAATTCACATTCTTTGAAGTTTCTCTTCTTGCTTGCTTTTTCTATTGCTTTTGCTTGCTTTTTTTTGCCAAAGTAGAGTCAATACCATTATTTATAAGGGGGAGGAGGCAGGGAGGGGTTTTTCGCTCATGCACGTGCGCTCAGTTTTAAATTAGTTTGGATGTACAAAGAGAATATGCGTGGAATTCAGAGTACGCAGTGTTTCATACATCTGAATTTTTTTACTGTGTAAGCACATTTACAGCTTTGTCCGTACGCAATGTTTTAGTATTAATTCAACGCAAGTCTTTGTACATGAGGCCTCTGATTTGTATCGGGTTAATCATTCAACACTTTAGGTTTAGCTTTCAGACACTTGAAATAATTAGTAATAGCAAAACAACCATTTATAGGTCATGAAATACACAGCTGTTGTCTGCGAAAATGGCAGTAATAATTATATTTAACAATCTGCCAACATGCTTTATTTACAACATACAGTATACACATTCTGTACATAATTGGAAAGTTTAGGCTGTGTGGAGTTGTTCTATTGCACAAGTGGGTCACTTTAGGACACTGCAGGTAAATGTGGCCCATATCCTAACGGTGTCAGATTTGGACCAGTTTACCTGCAGCGTGAACTTAGCCAGTGTTTTACTACCAGTTACATTATTGAGTGTTTACACTTCTTCTGCTGTATATGTGCAAGCAGGAAGTACACAGTCTGATCTGGCCACGTGACATTGATGCATTTTAATTAAAATGAAACCATTTCTTTCAATTTAAAGTTAAATTTCTTGCCCAAGGCCAACCATAAACTTCTAGAAAAAAGAAAAAGAACTGTGACCATGAGGATTAAATGGGTTATTAATGTTTGTATTTGTATTACTGTTGTCTTAAAGTAAAGCTGAGAAAAGACTTTACCATTTATGTGAGTCTGATGTAAGATCACACATGCTTATCGGTCGCCTAGCTTGTTTCCAAGTCCTTTTCAAGACACTTATTTTGTAGACATAGCAGCAGAGTTAATGGATATGTTTTCTCTATGTCTGGCACATACAAGCCATATTTCTCCACTCACTAGTCCATTAAAGCTGGAGCAAATGTCTGATGTCTTGGGGTGAAGAAAAAGAAGCTTTCATTATTGAGATCTGCACTTTTAGACATCTTTTTTTGTGCGTCTAGACTATCAAGGCAACAGTGCCATCTAGGGGTTTGCAGTGATGTTGCATATTATTACGGGATGATGATTTCTCTGTGCATGTGTGTGTGTGTGTGATTAACTTTGTTTTCGTCTTCACAGACTGCTTCGCTGAATAAACACCTGAGTTCCCTAATGCCGGGATTGACTGCAAAGGTTTTTAGGACATACAATGCTTCCATAACCCTGCAGCAACAGCTGAAAGAGCTCAGCAACAGTGAGTTGGCCTGTTTTTTCTTTCTCCTTTTATTTCTAGCATTCTATCAGTCAATTTCAAAGAACGTTCAACATCAAGACAACTTGTACAAATTCCAGATGTTCAGTCATGTCGTCAATATGGATATGAGCTTGAACATTTGCTAAACTGCTCAAATATGATTCCAATATGGATTTGCTGTCAGACTGTTCAAAACATCGTTTGCATTTTGACAACTGTGTGTCCACCAAACATATGGATATTGTTAGTATGACAGTGTGTCTAAACTCCATGCAAGCGATCATAATCAGCAAACTTTATAGGACACCTTGGCCATGCAATGTAACCAACCGTAGTTTCAAATCAGTGTCTGCAGTTCATTGGAGGTTCTTTTTTTTTTTTTGCTTGATGGTTATATAGTTATCATTTTTCAATTAGCATTTGTCATTTAGCATACGTTCAACTTGTATTTAATCATACAGGTTTTTTCTTCACTTTTACTTTGTTGTTTGTTTTATTTCTGTTTTGTTTTAAAATTAGTCGATGAATAGCTTTCAGTTACATTACATTGTTTTCCTTAAGAAATATTAACCTTATTTATTAAAACATGATGCTTTGCCCTTATTATTAAGCATTAACAAATTGCTTTTAACAGATCACAGATAACCCCAAAAGTTCTATTATTTCTGCAGCAATCGTAAAGATGTTTTAAATGCCACTGTAGTAGTACAGTATGTTTCTGTATTAACATGTGCTGTCTTAATTATAAATGTTCATTAACTGAAACATTGTGCTAGTATTTCAAAGTAGTTTCTGTCATTTTGACGGATAACAAATATTGTATTTGCATGCTTTAGAGGCATAACAATAGCTAATGCTAATAGACATTAGAATTAGATGAGACAACTGCATATTAAAGCATCTGTGTCTGAAAGCATTTGTGTGAAAGCAAACCTAGAAAGCGGCACATGGATTTGGGCAGAAAAATAATAGATTTGTAAAGCATTGCAGTAAACCATTCATTGGATACATCTTGGATTATATTGGGAGAGCAGACCACTAAGAATTAGTATAGAGTATTTAAAGAAATATATATATATATATATATATATATATATATATATATATATATATATATATATATATATATATACTGTACAATTTAACAAAGAATAAAAAAGAATCAGTCAAAAATGAAAGCAGGTGTTAGTTGAAACTCCAACAATTCAAATTAACAAATCATTCAGCCAAAGTGAAGGAAAATGAGTACGTGTTGTATAACCTTGTGATAAAGTCAATTATTGGTTTCGGTGGTATTGAGTTGAACTTCCCCAAGATGGAAGTGTCAAACTCTAATGTTGTAGACTGATGAGGAATTTGTATTTAATTTTTTTTTCTGTGGCTTCAGTGATTTTACACTGCAAGCTCGAGAAAAAGCTAAATAGAACATTACATGGTTTCTGGTTTGTAAAGCTTCTGGCCATAACTCGCACAAATTGCAAAATATTACATATATTATTTGGACGAATGGTTCCTTTTTAGCAGAGGTCTCAAGCCCCAGACCTTTAAGCCCCTTCTCCTCCTCTCTTCGGTCCGCAACTGAAGTAAAATATCCCCCCACACAAAAAAAAACATATTTTTGAATCACTATCATTGTTGTGCATATGGCCACATGTGGTTTTGCAGTAAAATACTGTTGGTCCCCATTTTGCCTCCTTCATGGCATAGAGCAATTTTCCAGTACCTTGTTGAATCTGAGATTTTGGTCCATATTGGCATGATAGCATCACACAGTTGCTGCAGATTTTTCGGCTGCACATCTATGATGCGAATCTCCCGTTCCACCACATCCCAAAGGTGCTCTATTGGATTTAGCTCTGGTGACTGGAGGCCATTTGAGTACAGTGAACTCATTGTCATGTTTAAGAAACCAGTCTGAGATGATTTGTGCTTTATGACATGGTGCATTATCCTGCTGGAAGTAGCCAACAGAAGATGGGTATACTGTGGTCATAAAGGGATAGACATGGTCAGTAACAATACTCAGGTAGGCTGTGGCGTTGACACGATGCACAGTTGGTACTAATGGGCCCAAAGTGTGCCAAAAAAATATCCCCCACACCTCACAAGCCTGAACCATTGATACAAGGCAGGATGGATTCATGCTTTCATGTTGTTGATGCCAAATTTTTACCCGAACATCTGAATGTCGCAGCAGAAATTGAGACTCACCAGACTTTGTTAAAATAATTTATTGTCCAATTTTGGTGAGCCTTTGCGAGTTGTAGCCTCAGTTTCCTGTTCTCTTCTGCTGCTGAAGCCTAACCGCCTCAAGGTTAGATGTGTTGTTTATTCAGAGATGCTCTTCTGCATACCTCGGTTGTAATGAGTGCTTATTTGAGTTGCTGTTGCTCAACACAGTCTGGCCATCCTTCTTTGACTTCTGACATCAATAAGGCATTTGCACCCACAGAACTGCCGCTCACTGGATATATATATATATATATATATATATATATATATATATATATATATATATATATATATATATATATATATATATATATATAATTATTATTATGATTATTATTTTTTTTTTTTTTTTTTGAGGATAAAAACAAACGTATTAAGATGTAAATGACCATTACGAAAAATGTAGTCATTGGATTTTGCAGTGCTTTTTTTTTTTTTTTTTTAGAAATGGTTATGTGGTCACGATAAGCATTCGCACCAAGTGTGCACTTACTTTTAAACTAGAAAAATAGATTAAACTCCAGTAGTCATACAACAAAATTAACATGAAAGAGATCACTTTTCTCAAGTCATTCCTGCTTGAACATGTTTTGATGAGCACATTCTAGCTTGTGCCGCTAACATTGAAAATGGTATTTTTGTCATTAGTCAGTGAATTGTGTTGCGCTAAAGAGATTGTTGTCTGCGAGTTGTGTAACTCGGAGTATCTCCCGTTTGTGAATGTGAAGTGTGTGTAATGCTGGGGTGGAGGTGTCGGATCGCCACTGAGAGCAAATCTGTTTTCTGCATCCGCTACAAGCTCTAATTAAATCAGCTCAGTGTGTGGCAGGGACTCGCCCATCAGGTGCCGTGTGTGTGTGTGTGTGTGTGTGTGTGTGTGTGTGTGTGTGTGTGTGTGTGTGTGGTGGGCATGTTGGCTTGTAATTAGCACATTTGCTCATAGAAGCTTGTTTAAGGACCTGAAATTATCCATTTCTAGGTGTTTTAACTATGTTTTTAATCTTTTTCCATCATTATTTTACGAGAATGTAAGCTTTTTGAAATGGTCATTGAAATGTTAATTATAATGAAGTTCAAACAATGGCCTGCAAAAATCAGATTATTATAAAAAAGATGCAGTGACTTTGATCATAAAAAGGCTGATTTATAACAGTTTATTTTAGAGATATTTTAACAAGCAGAAACCATTAAATTCATCAGAAACAAAACAGATTAACCTTTATAACCCAAGTGAAAATAATTAAAACAATTCAACCCTAAGTAAAAACTGAAATAAAGTCAATAATTAAAACTGACACATTCAATGAAAGAAAAGAAAACAAAACTAAGAAAAATGACAAATGCAACTAAATAACAATTCAAAAACACCAAAATATAAATAGTTTAACTCGAGCTAATATTAAAATGTTACTCTGTGATATTAAAATAGCACTTCATTATATATGTATATTATAATGGTGTTATTTTATATTAATAGTGTTGTAATAAGTGTTATGATGAGTGTTAGAGATGCCTTAATCAGGTTTTTTTGTCCTCTAGTTCGAGTCAGAGTCATTTGATTTTGAGTATGTACCGAAACCGATCCGATCCTTCTCTAATACATAACAAAGAATAAATAAGAGTGAAGAAACAGATCCAGGATGTTCCTTATTGTTGATTGTTGAATTCACCTTATTTTACCATTCAACAACTCTGTTAACAAACAGAGCACTTCTGTGAGCTTTGAACAATTAAGTAATAAATAACAAATTCGTCACTTTTGGACTTCAGTGCAACAGTAAATATAAACAAGTAGCACCTCAACTTAAAATAACCAGCAGGTAATCCCAAGTTTACATATCTCAGTTTGCTATAGAAATGTTGTTGTCATCAACATTCCTAATGTTTGTTCATTAAACAAAAATAACCTGTATGTGTAAATACATACTTGCATACATGCATTTTGGGGTCACACATTACATATAATGCGAGTTACATAATAATATTACTTTTCTAAGTAATGAGTAAAAGTAACGCATTTCTTTAAAAAAATATGTAATAATATTTGTTACTTTAAAAAAAGAGAGAGAAATAGACAAAAGTACATAAGTAGCAAACACATTGCTTTCAACTTTCTTTAATCTGTATATACGGCATGTGTATTGTCAGGAGTTTTTCAGAGGGTAACATTGCTCTATTTTTTTATTAGTTTTTTTTTTCTAAAGGTAAATGAAGGTGTAGTTTATACAGTGTGTTGTTAAAGAGCTCCTCTATTAAAAAAGGAAAAGAAGTTCTGAAAGGGATCAAGAGTACTCAAAAGTAACCCAACTCATTACTTTCCATAAAAAGCAACTAATAATTTTTTTTAGGAAGTAACTCAATATTGTCATGTATTACTTTTAAAAGTAACTTCCCCCAACACTGTGCACACACACATAAATATATATATATATATATATATATATATATATATATATATATATATATATATATATATATATATATATATATATATATATATATATATATATATTAACCTAGTTAAGCCTTTAAATGTCTCTTTAAGCTGTATAGAAGTGTCTTGAAAAATATTTAGTAAAATATTATTTACTGTCATCATGGCAAAGATAAAATAAATCAGTTATTAGAAATAAGTTTTTAAAACTATTATGCTTAGAAATGTGCTGAAACAATCTTCCCTCCATTAAACAGAAATTGGGGGAAAAAAATAAACGGGCACTAATAATACAGGGGGGCTAATAATTCTGACTTAACTGTGTGTGTGTGTGTGTGTGTGTGTGTGTGTGTGTGTGTGTGCGCGTATATATATATATATATATATATATATATATATATATATATATATATATACATACACACACACTCACTGAAAGCACTTTTTTTCAGTTCCTTTTTATTATATTTTAATATGTACATATATATTTCCATGTGCCAGATAATACAACAAGCAAACAAATGAACAAACAAAACAAAAGGCTTCTTAGTATTTTAAATCAGAATACAATATAACCTCTTTTACTAATTTTCTAAGACAACATTTCCAACTCCACCACCTTTTAAAAACAACGTAAAAGGTCCCCAAACTCGATTAAAATATGTTTATTTCTTAATATACACATTATTTTTCCATTGACATGTTTGTTACCATCTCATTTAGCCAATTGAAAGAAATAAGCCGTTTCGCTTGCAGAATACATTAATACATAATTATATGCTCCGTCTTTTTTTGCTTGATCTCCTTGTGAAATAAATGAAATTTAAAAAATAAGGGAGACATTGGTATATTAACCTCAAGAATATTTTCTGTAATTTCTTTCACACTTTTCCAGAAGTCCTGTATTAAAGCACTGGTTATTTTTGTTCAGTTGAATATGTTCACTTTGAAAGAGCAATATAGAAGCTTGCAGATAATAGTAAAAATAATAGTAAACGTGTAACTATATCCTTGACTCACTCACCCGTTTTTTATTTATTTTTTTCTAAACTGTTAATGTGATTTCTCCAGTGAAGGATAATGTGCCGGAGAAGTTGCTCTCCTATAACAGGGCAAACCGTGCGGTTGCAGTTCTGTGTAACCATCAGCGGGCGCCGCCAAAGTCCTTCGATCAGTCCATGGCCAACCTGCAGGCAAAGGTAAAGCTGCACATGAAAGACTGGATAGTGATGAAACAGTTTAAGAAAAAACACTTCGATATGAGGCTGGTTTTTTATTAGGTTTAGTTTTTCTCTTTCGTTGTTAGATTGACAGCAGGAAGGAGCAGCTGGACTTGGCTAAGAAAGAGCTCAAGCAGGCCAAGAAAGAAGCCAAAGGGAGCTCAGACAACAAGCTGCTGGTGTCAGTATCTCGTTCCAGACCTATGAAAAGGACCGTTTATTTGCTCTTCCGTCTGTTAGAAAGATATGATGCTTGGGGATGAAAGTTTGGAATAATTAAGTCTTTTTTGCTCCCCAAAGATTTATCTTATTTTAGTAATGAAGAAATTCTAAACTTTATTATAGAAATATAATATAATCAATAATATAATATAATAATCACAATTTGCAGGTTTTTTTATATAAAAAAATATATTTAAAAATCATTTAATTGTTGTAATGGCAAAGCTGAATTTCTGCGTTCTATGCTATATCCATCAGTGCTACTTGGTGTTACTGGTTTAGTCTTCAATTATTTATGGTGGTGAATTAATAATCTTGGTTTTAATGAATGTTAAAAAACACCAATCTACACTCACTGGCCACTTTATTAGGTACACCTGTCCAAATGCTTGAGACAAATTTCTAATCTGCCAATCACATGGCAGCAACTCATGTAGACATGGTCAAGATGATCTGCTGTAGTTCAAACCGAGCATCATAATGGGGAAGAAAAGTGATGTAAGTGACTTTGAATGTGGCATGGTTGTTGGTGCCAGACAGGCTGGTCTAAGTATTTCAGAAACCGCTGATCTACTGGGATTTTCTTGCACATCTCTAGAGTTTACAGAGAGTGGTTTGAAAAAGAGGAAATATCCAGTGAGCGGCAGATGCTGTCATGTTAATCTGGACCAAAATCTCTGAGGAATATTTTCAGTACAGTGTTGAATCTATGCCACAAAGGATTGGGTTAGTTCTGAAGGCAAAAGGTGTACCTAATAAAGTGGCCGGTGAGTTTATTATTGTGAAACAAAAATACATTACTGATACGTCTTTCTTGCTGGTTTGAATGTAAAGTTAAGATCAACTGCATTTTAAATAGATAGTTTTTAATGTTAAATCAATACATTTAATTCAATACACAGTAATGCATTCTTGTTGATTAAAAGTATATACTGTAATTGTTTAAATCAAAATAGTGATCTGTTATTATTTTAAAAGAAGCTTCTTCTGCTCACCAAAGCTGCATTAAATGAAAAAACAATAACTATTTTTTTATATTACTAAATTATAACTAAATTATACATACTGTCACTCTTGATCAGTTTAATGTTCTTAATGAATAAAGTATTTATTTTTTAAAAAATGGGAGAAAAAACATTTGGTTAAGTACTATATTTACAGCACAACTGTTGATAAAACAGCCAAAAATATTCTGAGCAACAAGTAAACAATGATTTCTGAAGGAGAGCACAACACTTGAAGGCTGAAGTAAAATTCAGCATTTAATTGCATGAATAAATGACATTGTAAAATATGTGCAAATGGTCTATGTCAGGGGTGACCAACCCTGTTCCTAGAGATCAACCTTCCTGCCGCTTTCAGTTGCAACCCTCACCAAACACACCTGCCTGTCATTATCAAGTGCTTCCGGTCCTGATTGATTGGTTCAGTTGTATTTGATGCGGGTTGGAGCTGAACTCTGTAGGAAAGTAGATCTTTAGGAACAGGGTTGAGCACCCCTGGTCTATATGATGTGTATGAAGTGTGTTACTGTGTGTGTTCAGTGTGGTGGAGAAGAAGAAGAAAGCAGTCCAGAGGTGTGAGGAGCAGCTGCTGAAGATGGAGGTTCAGGCTACAGACAGAGAGGAGAACAAACAGATCGCACTGAGCACCTCCAAACTCAACTACCTGGATCCACGCATCAGTGTGGCCTGGTGAGGAAATTTCACAATATTATGGAATTTTTAAAGGTCTATTCCAGACTTTAAAGCTCAGGTACTTTTATATGTATATTTGCCATATAATTTTATTTCACGTGGTTATGGTTAGACCATTTATTCATGCCTTTTTTCCTTTCCCACTTGTAAATCGGCAATCAAATACAATAAAACAATATGACTTATTTTTATTTTTTAACACAACAACAAATGTTTTGTTTTGCTAAAAAATAAGAAGTAAATGAAGAAAGTAAATGAGCCGGAAATCTTGAGACCTTTAAGTTAAAATGACTATGCCACTCTTATGTAAAAAAATAAGGTGGATAACTCCTGGAAGTTCAGCTTTTTAGTCTGTGAAGTCAGGGAGTTTGACACTTGGCTCTAATTTGGAACCCAGCAAACAGCATTCTAATTAAAATCTGAGCATTTCCGATGGATCATCTCTTCATTTTCTGCTTCTAGGTGTAAGAACATGGAGGTGCCGCTGGACAAAATTTACAACAAAACCTTGAGGGATAAGTTTGCCTGGGCAGTCGACATGACTGAACTTGACTTTGTGTTCTGAGTGTGTTTGTTTATCCTACAATTCAGCCCAATATTTTATACCGTGTTCATTGAAACCTTGAATTAAATCGTGTGGCTCTTGTGTTCGTTCATATATTTTGCACATTTATATTGTTTTTTTTATATCGATTATTCAACTTTAGCTATTCTTAAGTATTTTAAGACAGTTTAATAAATGTTCATGCTTCATATGAAAAACCTTTTGAGTCTTTTTTTTTTTTTTTTTTTATCATGTCAAGCAGGACTTGTGAAGGGTCTGTACATTCAAGACCTTTTCAACCAAAGTAAAGAAAATGTGGTCACACTTTGTTATAAGCTTTCCTTAATTAAATGAACACTTTAAAAAAATAGCCTCTTTTTATAACTCGCCTACAGTTAAACGGTTGAGTTTTACCATATTTGAATCCTTTCAGCAGGTATCTGGGTCTAGCAGAAGCACTTTTAACTTAGCTTAGCATGAATTATTGGATTAAAAAAATTGTAAAACTGAACCGTAACACTCTAGGTGACTTACTAAAATCAACACCCTCAAAAAAGGGTTAAAGTATTCCTTCATGAAGTATTCACTAACATGAGCTAAGAATGAACAATACTTGTACAGCATTTATTAATCAAAGCTGAATATTTACAAATGCATTATTAATCCAAGAGTGTGCTTGCTAACATGAACTACCAATGAAAAAACTTTGTTAACATTAAGGACAAAGATAAATACTGTAATAAATGTACTGATCATTACTTGTTCATGCAAGTAAAATAATTGAAATTCTAAATGTAAGTTTATATGAAAAACATTTTTGTAAATCGTATTGAATCTCCATTAGTTTTTAATTCATTTTACTAAAATTATATTTTAGTTTGAATAAATGTGCTCCTAAACATTACAATATGCAAGTAGCTTTTACATCGTTTTATTACAAAAACAAAAATACATTTTCTTGTTTTTTGGTAATTGTTTTCAGTTAAAAAACAAAAAAAAAGGTACGTCAAATTGCATTTACCTTTTAAAGCAAATGTTTTGTTTTTTAGGACAACAGTATTTCCAGCAGAAAAGATATCCAAAGATGTTGTTTTAAATTGTAATGAAATCTGTTTTAAAAACTAATGAAGACAGCAAAAGTCAAGATTCATTTGAATTATTTAGTCGCCAAACAGGTTTACAAAATTTAAGTTTTTCAAAATAAAATGAGTTCAAAAGGAGAAAAGGCTTTCTTTTTTTAACCAGACATTTAAAAATAATATAATTTAGAGCAGTAATTATAATACCATGAAACTGTGATATTTTTATCCAAGGTTATCACACATTCAGAATCTTATACCGGCCAATGCCTAATGAGAATAAATATTTGCCTTTTGGCTTAAAACAGCATATTTATTTCAGAAAAGCATTTATCTTAACACACCGACTCCATTTTAAACTTTAACTCAATTTTGTTTTGTTTTTTTAAACTTCATTTTGCAACTCAAATGTACCTTGGTGTTAATAAATGTGGAATTTGTACTTGGAAACGTAATTGTTATTCAAATGCAACATCTAATGTTATGAATGCCAGGCTTTCTGCTTTAAGATTTTTAACGCCCTACAAATGTTAAGGATTAAGAATGTTTAGACCCTCAGGTTTTGAGAGATGAGTATGGGTTTTTCCACACACAACGTCATTTGATATAAAATAATTAATTTAATAAATTATTTATTGCTTAAATGCATGGAGCTGTTTAGAGTTAATATAGTTTACCAATTAATGTCATTGCGAACTAGTATTCCTTGATTCCTAATTGGTTATTTGTTGTCACAAATCTTGTCTGACTGAAATTTTAGCTGAAACAACTTACTAAAGTTCAGCATCTTGTAGTATAGACCAGTGGTGTTAAAGTCAGTTCCTTGAGGGCCGCAGCCGCGCACATTTTAATTCTAACCCTGCTTCAGCACACTGAAGCTGCGGTCACACTGGACTTTTCTCCCCATAGATTTCCATTTGTACTCATGCGAATGCGTCAGACTGGAAACACAAGCTCGTGCATCAAGTTTCACAGTTCGCTGCATTTCAAAGTTCAAGCTTCCTGAACTCTGACCTGCAAAATAACATCACTTGACTGCATGAGACCAATCGAGGATCAGAACATCGCTTTTTTTTGAATGTCTAATCATCTCATTTAATCCGGCACCTTTTCGCCATATGACATCATTTCACATGCTCAAGCTCTAATGTGACTGCAGCATTACCTGTAGGTTTAAAACAAGTCTGAATGACTCGGTTAGTTTGATCAGGTGTGTTTATTTACAGTTAGAACTAAACCATAGAGCTGCGGGCAAGAAAATTCCCAGAATAATTAAGGTAATGATAAAAGAGATGATTTGGTGAACAGTTGAATACAGACAGATGAGGACAAGGGATTTAAGAAACAACTTTTAATTCAACAACAAACTGGCTTTAACAGGAATGGTGATAGGTTGGCACTTGGGCTAGTGCTGTTATTACAGTAACGCAGGATTCGGCTCTACAGTTGGATGTCATGTTTAAAAAGTTCTTTGAGGAAAAAGGAAAAGCATACAGTCACAGCATTAAGACTGACTTTAATTCCTTCTACATTATTAAAAAAAGCAACACATCAAACCAAAATATGTTAGTCACCATAGAGAGAATCTTGCTGCTCCTGAAGAGTGTGTGTATAGTTTTATTCGTTCAACTCTGCATCCTGTGAAAGATAATTTTGCATAATTATATTTTGTATTTAGAATTTATGACTACAGTAGTCTACGATTGAAATGGATGTTTTTCAATCTTGTTCCAAAACAAGAATAGATAGTTTTAGGACAAGGTTATGATCCACTTCAATTGGTGACTACTGTAGTTTTAATTAAGGTAACTGATGAAACTGAAAAGTACCTCTACTAGGAGGCGTCTCCCTCTTTGACCTTGTTCTCTCCTTCAATCTCTTCCACTCCTGCCTGAGTCATCAGGTCTGCTATATTCTTCTCCAGGTCATCAATGCGGGTGCTCATTTCATCAAGTGAATATTATTAAGGAAGATGAGGGGAAAGCACAAGTAACCACTGATTTCTTAAAAAAAAAAAAAAAAAAAAAAGCAGCATTTGATTGGTCCACACTGCAGAACGAGATTAAAATAAGGGTCTTTGTCTGCTTGCAAACAAACTCTGGTGCAGTTCAACTGAAACTAATGCAATACCATTAGTTTAGATCAGTGCAAAACATTGTCACAAGATGAAACCATGAAAAGGACAAAATGATTGTGCTGTTTTGACTCCATTACAAATTCTATAATGATGATGATTTATTGTTATGTAATGCCATGTCAACAACAAAGGCTATTTTTGTGGCAAGAACATTTCATAAATATACAATTAAAAACAACAAACAAATACATACATAAATTAGATAGACTTGTTAATACATAAAAAAAAAATCCTGGTGACACTTTGCTAAATAAATGAAGTTAATTTTATAAAAAAAGCCTTTTACAGTCATTAAAAGCAAAAGAGTCCTACAAATTCTATAACCTCTTCATTGGTGCTTAAATGATTAAAATATTCTATGATGTGTACAATTACAAAGTGCACATTCAGACCAGCACATAGTGCCATTTTGGATGTCTAGTAACATTAAAAACACAAGGACTAATTGTATCATTTTGGTCCTCATCAAAAAAGAGACCAAACTACAAGTGTGTTTAGGCTAGTTTTTTAGTTTGTTGATTTGAATGTGTGAAGGGAGTGAAAACAGTGGCATGGATGGTTTCATCATCTCTTACGCACATGCATGCAGGAAGGAGACTCCTTTCTAACAACTTTATTGATCCATAATGGACCACATCCTGACTGTGACCAAAAAAAAAGTATGCTTTAGCATTATATCCCGTTTATGGTTTCAGCTTGTAACACACCCTGTTATTTAGATTTCCTTTAGATATTCTTTATGCCTGTATTGTATTGTATTAATGCAGGTAAAACAGCACCAAAGTTTGGATGGCAGCATTCTCATTTAGTTAGATGAACCACTAACCGAGCATTCACATCAGTTTTAATTTAAATCAAACATGTCAAGTGTGAATTCACTTTAGATTAAATTAGGGCTGCCCTGCATGGTTTAGCTTCAACGTCCTTCAACACACCTGCCTGGAAGTTTCTAGTATACCTAAAAAGAGCTTGATTAGTTGGTTCAGGTATATTTAATTGGGGTTGGAACTAAAATAGGTAGGACATTTGGCCCTACCTGGTTTAAAATAAAACTCAATTCCTGGAAGGCCACAGCCCTGCAAATTTAGCTCCAACCATCTTCAACTCACAGCTGCTTAACAGTCTCTAGTAGCCTTTAACACCTGTTTGGGTTGGGTTAGGGTTGGAGCAAAGATGTGCCCCTCTAGGAATTGAGTTTGAGAGCTATGCTTTCAATCCATATATCAAGGCATTAAATGCAAAGCTGAAGCTTTTTTTTTTTTGCTTATGATTTTACTAATTTGTGAAGAAATTATCTTATGGTGGTTGTAAATTCTATCAAATTTGCTTGAGGGCCAAACAAGATGCTCATCTTTTTGTAAATGTTGGTTTTGGCATTTTAACTGTTAAAGGTTTGGGTTGAACACTCAAATAATATATATCAGACATGGAAATGTCACTTTTGTACCCATGAGGATAATTTGGTCACAATTGAGACAGACAGACATCTGCTAAATAAGTAATATAATTCAGAAATAGCCTGCTGTTATCTTAAAAGGACACTTCACCCAAAAATGAATCTTTACTCCTTACCCTCAGGTTGCTCCAAATCTTTATGGGTTTCTTTCTTCTGTTGAGAAGTTTAAGCTGAAAACCTGTAACCATTGACCTCCACAGTAGGAAAAACAAATAATATGAAAGTGAAAAGTTGCAGGATTTTTCAAAATATCTTTTTTTGTGTGTAACAGAAGAGAGAAAGAGTTTGAATCACAAGTTCTTTTGGTACATTGGTTTTAAAGTGTAAAGAAGCGAAAACAGTTAGCAGGAATTTCATCACATAATTGCTCCCATCACACTCATTATTGGGTGAACTAGCCTTTTAAACTGCGATGTGCAATCTCTTAATAAGCTTTCTTGAAAATCGCTGAAGATATATTATAAACAAGAAAGGAAAGGATATTTCTCCCGATGATCTGGTCTGACATTGTCTGGAACTTATCCTGCATCTGCTGCAGTAATGTCTGCACCTGTTTGGGACAAACTGTTACGTTAATCCGAAATCATAAAGCTTCGTAAACAAATAAAGTAAAATATATAAATCTCATCGTTGCAATATAACAAGTTTATTCTACGACAAATTTCATTTGACTTGGTAAACGAAGCTACGGAAAATGTCAAAAAATAGAGGTAAACAGTGCTTAGCATTAGCCTAGCTTAGCAAACCCCCAGAATACGACATTTGATTTCAAACGTACCACTGCTGTGAGATCCTGCACTGATTTTGGGTCTGTCTCTGCCATATTATTTAACTAAATAGATTTGTAGACGTGTAAAATGTGTTAATTATTCCTAAAATTGTGTATCTACCCAACCCTTTGCTTTCTTCAGATCAGCTGTTGGCTAAATCACGGAGTTGCGACAAATATCGCGGGATTTCAGAAATCTCACAGCGAGCGATTCCGCAGCTGCAGACAAGCAAATATACCTGTGGCGTGATCAGACCGAGAGAGCATCATGGCATTTCTCTCACACACAAATAAAATGCAGTCATGTTGTCAAGTACAACCAGCGACAAGTTACAGCAGGATGAGTAAGAATGCATTTACATGGGTAATTTTGTTTTGTTGGGAAATTACGTAAAATGTTTGTTTTCTGCAAGGGATGCCAATGTTAACGTTACCTCAGTGTCATACATACAGTATCGTTTTTATTTTTTTCCCTTTTTTTGTAAGACTGACAAAAAAGTTTAACTTTATTAGTAGGCTAATTATAATAAATGTGCGCAAGTTCTCAGTCGTGTCGTGTGTCAGTCGACTGTACTGACTGTACAAGAGAGGTTTTTGATGTTGTTACGTGTTTTACCACAAATTTACCTACATAAACAAGGGAAAGGAAGTAGTAAGCGCTTCTCATACAAATATGTGGTTAAATGCCCTGTTCATTTCGCCTTTTCCTTTCTCTGTAACATTAGCCCGGTGAAAGCAGCGCGCGGTCAAGCCCACATCTGCAAACTGCATCAGCCTGATTTAGACTTCTAGATGATGGCAAGATGAGACAGCAAATGCTCACGAGAGTGAGTGTGTGTTGCTGCTGTTATAGTTGTCAAACAAGTCTCCGTCCGACACCAGGTATGCTTGAACCTACAAGGTTTCCTTTCTTGCAACTTATTTTCCTAACATTAGCCGTTTCGTCAAGGTAAAGCGAAAGCTGCTTCGCGAAACTTGCTGAATAAGCTTTCAGTTGGTGCTTAAAAAACCGAGGAATATTAACATGGAGTTCCTTCATTGCATGAAACTGCTAATCAGAGAGTTCTAACGCGATATTGCATTAATATTCATTTATCAGGTTCACTTGAAGCAGTCGAATACTACGTATGCTTCTTCGTGTAGACTCTGTACTGGAGATCAAGATGTCCTGTTCGCGAATGAATTGTCTATCTAAGTCGATTCTTATACAGTGAATAAGTTGGTTGAAACATTCCGAAAATAAAGATTTCGTTCACGAATCAAACTATTTAAGCAGTGACATAGGCTTTAGCATAGTATGCTCTTAAATATGACTTTTATGCAAAAGGTCCATGCATGCACATTAAGTTTATCATGGAACTATCAATGGCATAAATAAAGAAATAATAATAGAAGTGTGTATAAACACAGAATGGTTCGTGACTCTGTAAGGTTCTTCATTTGTAAGGTTCTCTGCAGGTTTATCATTTATAAAATACGTTTACTGTTTAATTTTGTAAATGCAAATCCCTATTCATGTTCTGGATATCACTTAATGAATTGTATTGATTTCTGGCTGTGGCAAACTATGCTAAGACATTTCATTAGCTAAACCCCTTATTTACATAAAAAGAAAAACAGCAATATATGACAACACATTACTTTTAGATCTTGTGTTTTGGATCACTACTTAACCATGTGGGACTGATGCCAATCACTTGATACTTTAACAGATTTGCTAATTTCTATTAATATATTAGCTTATGTTTTGTTTATCTTAAAACAGCACAGAATAGAGGTATTGAGAAAGGTTGAACTTCTTTGACCTGCAACACTTCAGTAAAAGACAATGTAAATACATTAAAAAGATAAATGAATTTAGGAAAAACAGCATGGTGAAATGAAGTACACAAAAGACAAGCTGAAAGATTTTCCTGCTGCTTAAATCTGCTGCTGGATCTGGTTTCTGAAGATCATGTCACACACATGCATGTGACATTAATATGAAGTGCCTAAAACTATCCAAACATGTTTATGGTCATGTTTGCCAATCCCGAAAAACAAAGTCTCCTGTTTGTCCAGGCAAGTTGTGTGTTTACTGAAGGTGCGGATGTATACATGTTCTTGAGAGAGACGTAGAGACTGTCAGAAAAGCCCAACCCCCTTTGGAATGCAGAAGTTATGCAACGCCTCTATGTACGTACAGTAGCAGTTCTCAGAAATTAGAGACCTCCACTATAGAGGTCACGAGCAATCCTAACATACTCTGTTTCAGTTGACTTCATAGGGATTAGGCAGAATTCCTCAGTAGCCTGATCACCTAAACCCACTAAATCCATATTAGAATGGTGCAGGACTCTTGGACTTGAGTTTGATCTTGAGGGTTTTTGTTTGTTTTCAAATGGTCGAGTGCAAAAGAGAAAACTTTGTATAGAGAAGTTATAAATCAGAATATATATAGACACAAATTATATAAATATATGATGTATATTATATATACTAAGTAAATGTAAATTAGATTAAATATAAATGACTAATATATAGAAATATTCATTCATTCACGTCGGCTTATTCCCTTTATTAATCCGGGGTCACCACAGCGGAATGAACCGCCAACTTATCCAGCAAGTTTTTATGCAACGGATGCCCTTCCAGCCGCAACCCATCTCTGCGAAACATACACACACACACACACACACACACACACACACACACACACACACACACACACTATGGACAATTTAGCCTAGCCAATTCACCTGTACCGCATGTCTTTGGATTGTGGGGGAAACCAGAGCACTCGGAGGAAACCCACGTGAACACATGGACTCCACACAGAAACGCCTATTGAGAGTATTGAGAGTGGACGAGAGTGCTGGTTATTTACTCCCCAACTACAATCCCTGCTAGCACGGATACTCAAACCTGAGAACGTTAGATCACAAGACCAACTCTCTAACCCTTTGGCCATGGCTGCCCGTTTTATAATGTAACACATATTATTGTGTTTTAGAACGTCATTAAAGGTGTACATAGGAAAGTATGTACATAGGATTTGAACATTGTTTCAGTATGTGGTTGAACGAGATATAACAGTTGAAATTTTAAGTATTAAAGATGTTTTTTGTTATTTTTATCCACCCAGGTCCTCTGACGACAGCTTGACGCACTCAGGTTGCCAGATTGAACACACCAACAGGAGCGAGGGTTCCTGACTATCAAGCCTTACATTGTAAGCTGCTCAGCTAACGTTTATGTTTGTAAAATATCTATTATTGGCTAATCAAGCACCACCTTCAGTTTATATTTATAACTGAATCTGTGCCTCATTTCGGAGGCCGCAACTGTACTCCAGAGTTAGCAATTTCAGCTGCGCATGAGGAACTGAGGCACTGAGGAAGCCTTCATGACTGAATTAAAACACACTGTGTTTTTCACCAAGGCAACCTGGGGTGCTAAAATATAATTAGATAGTACTACCTACCACGCCACCCGTAGTTTTGTCTCGTCACAGCAAGAAGGTTGCTGGTTCAAGCCTCGGCTGGGTCAGTTGGCATTTATGTGTGGTATTTGCATGTTCTCCCCACGTTTGCGTGGCTCTCCACCAGGTTCTCCAGTTTCCCCTACAGTCTAAAGACATGCGGTACAGGTGAATTGGGTAGGCTAAATTGTTGGCAGTGAATGAGTGTGTATGGATGTCTCCCAGAGATGCTGCTGGAAAAGCATCCACTGCCTAAAACATATGCAGGATAACGCCCCATTCACAAGGGGCTTCAGCATCAACGCTTCCCATTCACTTTGAATGGGTGACGTCAGGCGTTGCCGAACTGCATTGTGGATCCGTCGGCGCGGCTTCAGAGGCGTTGCTCGCTGCAGTAGTTGGGACTAGCTCAACTTTTCAAGCACCGACGGAAGCGTCAGCGAATCGGATCGCTGTATGCAAATACACCAGCTAGACAGTGGCCTATTGCTGACTGAATTTCATTGGCTAACGCTTCTATGACGATCGCTTCAGCCCCAACTTCAGACTTGCCCTCATTCAAGCGTTGACGCTGAAGCCCCATGTGAATGGGGCGTAAATTAATAAAGGGACTAAGCCGAAAAAAATAAATAAATGAATAATATTTGAATTTCATTAAAATCTAAAGAAAAAGATTTTTCGAGCTGCAAAGATGCTAATGTAAATCAGAATGACATAAAAACATGTTCAAATAATCAAATTCAATGAGACAGCTGTCATGTGCTCAAAAACACAATGTCAGTATAAACTTCCAGGTAAATTCTTGCATCACAATCCTTTTCCTGTGTCCTTTTAAAACTGTCCACACCCTCAGGAAATATTTCTGTCCGACACTTGTGCTGAATTGGGGAAATGATGCTTGCAGCGTAAGCTCATAACTATTTCAACACTTCTCGGCAGAACCTGTGACTCAGCTCATGTTTTGATGAGACATTTGCCTGGTCGGAGACAAAGAACAGCCTTATCATTTAGTCCACAAACAGCCTGTTTAACTGAGATATTGTTGGATTGGGTGTCAGCCTGTAGATGACTGTTACTGTCCCGGACGACTGTGAAAACGACCATGCATTTCCAGAAAGGGGCACATGAATCATTAACAATGTGTTTATATGTTTGCTATTGTTGTCCCTGTGAAAGCTTTACGTGATTGTTCACCCCAAAAAGTAAATTTAATTTAATTAATCAACTTATAAACCTTTATGTTTGTCTTCTGCTAAACAGAAAACACTGTATCAATTGACTCCTGTGGGTTATTTTTATATTAAAATATTATTTTTTGAATAAAATTTGTATGTGTTTTCAATTGAACGAAAAAACATAAAGGGTTGAAACCAGTCTCTTTAAGGTGACTGAAGGTGGCACTGCTGCTTTTTTGGCTCCTTTAGGGCCTGTGTCTATGCAGTAAATGTATGCCTCTTTTGTTAGTTTAAGCTGCTAGTTTTTAGCGACAGTAGTAGAATCTTAATTTCATCTGTGCTCAAGTGTTTTTATCTTCTTGCAGGGAATGGAAGTATAAAAGACGTGTTTTGTTGAGGACTGAGCGATGGAGCAGGGGTCAGAGGAGAACATGGAGAGCTCATGGACACTGCTGTCCTGGATGGCTTCTGGCGTGATGGTTTTTGGGGGCGCAGTGCCGTATGTTCCGCAGTACCAGGAGATCCAGAGGACCAGCAACGCTGAGGGATTCTCAACAAGAGTCTGTCTGGTGCTGCTCATCGCAAATATACTGCGCATTTTCTTCTGGTGAGTTTTGGTTTGGTGTGGTTTTTGTTTTGTTTTTTGCTTTGGTTTTAGTTTTGTTTTTGTTTTTTCGTTTGTTTTTTGATTAGTTTTTTTGTTGTTGTTCTGCTTTTGGTTTGATTTTTGTTTTGTGTTGTTTTTTGTTTTGTTCTTTGTTTAGTTTTTTTATTTGTTTGTTTTTTTTGTTCCTGTTTTGTTTTATATAGTTTAGTTTTTGGTTTGGTTATTTATTTATTTATTGTTTTCCTTTGGTTTTAGTTTTGTTATTTGTATTATTTTGTTGTGTTGGGTTTTTGATTTGTTCTTTGTTCTTTGTTTTTTTGTTCTTTGTTTAATATATAGTTTTTTTGGTTTTGTTTTGCTTAGTTATTTGCTTTGGTTTTAGTTTTGTTTTTGTTTTGGGATGTTTTTTTTGTTTAGATGATTGTTTTTGTTTTTTTGTTTATTGTTTTATTGTGTTGTGTTGTTGTTTAGTTCTTTGCTTTGTTTTTTTCATTCGCTTTTTTACTTTTTATGTTTTGTTTTTTTGTTATCAAACATGATGTTATATTTGTCAGAATGATATTTATGTGAATTTTTTTGTGAAGATTTTCTAAATTTTTCTTTTTGTAGCCAATTTGTGCTTGCATTTTGTTTAAATTTTATATATATATATATATATATATATATATATATATATATATATATATATATATATATATATATATATATATATATGTGTATATATATATATATGTATATATATATATATATGTATATGTGTGTGTGTGTGTGTGTGTGTATGTATGTATGTATGTATGTATGTATGTATGTATGTATGTGTGTGTGTGTCAGAATGTCATACTTGATTTCCTTGATAAATAGTTTGATGTCTATTTCTCAGCCATATATACCAACAAAATCTGCTTATTTTTATTTATTTATTTATTTATTTTTTGTATTTGCCCATCTAATCAATATCTGGTTAAAATAATATTATTTTATTTTTATTTATTTTTATTTCATTTCATTTGTGCCATTTTGGCAGGCCATAAGTAATACCACTGCAACATTTAAATATGACTTTTAAATATATTTAAGATATACGACAAAAAAAGGGAAAAAATGTTAATAATAATTAACCCATTAAGTAAATAATTAGAATATTAAACAAATTAACAAATATTAAAACACAGTAATTGGAAAATCAGTTAAAAAGATGCTATGTTGTTTGCCACATTTTTCAGGTCAGTTATTTGGAAGTACTTTGCAATGTACAACATTCGCTCAACCGATTGCATGCAGTTGGCTTTGACAAATTAAAGATAAAAGAAATATCTGAGAAACTTTTTTTTTATTATTATTTTTGATTATTATTGTTTTTGTATTTCTCTCTGGCTTCTCTTGAGACAGATTTGCTTGTTTTGCAGGATAGGCAAACAATTTGAGCTGCCTTTGCTTCTACAGAGTGTGGTGATGATTCTCACCATGTTGGCGATGCTGCATTTGTGCTGTTCAATCCAGAGCAGCAACCGTGTCAGTACCAAACAGCACCACATCACAGGTAATCATATTCAACACTCTATCCAGCAGCAGCTTCAAACTTACTGTGAATGGTTTGCTCAGACCGTGCTTTTTTCAAATGTTTTCCTTTCCACTCACTTTAGTATTTTGCTTTATTCTTAAAAAAATGTAAGTGTCTATTGCTTACCTTGCTGCATTTTTGATAACTACAAAAAAAGCATTATTATAAAATATGATTGTAATGTAAATTATTATATGTAATACAAATACATAAATTTTAGTTTTTAATTTTGGCCTAAATATTTATGCAATATATTTGTTTTTAATAGCAAATCTGTTCAAAACCATTTTTACCCAGCCTAGTTATGGATGGATGGATTGATTGATTGATTGATTGATTGATTGATTGATTGATTGATTGATTGATTGGTGGATGGAAATATGGAAGTAATGATGGATGAATGGATGGATCATTGGATGAATGAATGAATTAATAGATATGTGGATGGATGAATAAATTATTGCGTGGATGGATATATGGGTGCGTGAATCAATATATGGATGGATAATTGGATGGATAGATGAATCATTGGATGAATGATTGAATTAATAGATATGTGGATGGTTGGATGGATAATTGGTTGGATGAATGAAGAATGAATGAATGTATGAATGAAAGGATGGATGGACTGATATATGGTTACATGGGTGGGTGGATTATTGGATGAATGAATAAACTAATGGATATGCGAATATATGGATCGATGAATTAATGAATGCGTGGATGGATATATGGGTGCATGAATGTATATATAAATAGATAAATGGATAACTTTGGATAGATGGATCATTAGATAAATGAATGGATATGTGGATGAATGGATGGATGGATGGGTGAATAATTGAATGGATGGATGGATGGATGAATGAATGGGAGGGCTGAAATTTGGATGCATTGATGGATGGATAAGTCATTGAATTATTGACCTAATCAATTACTTAATGGATATGTATTAATGTTTTATTGAATATATATAAATGTATGGATAGATATATGGATGGGTGGATGGATGAATCATTGGATAAATGAATGAATGGATATATAGACAGATGAATGGATATTTGAATGGATTGATGTATACATGAATTAATGGGTGTATGAATGAATGAATATATGGATGTGTGGATGGATGTATTATTGAATGGATGAATGAATGAATCAATGAATGGATGGATGGGTAGATGAATGAATGAATGTGTGGATGAATGGATTAATGGATGGATGGATGGATGGATGAATGAATAAATATGTGGATGGATGAAGGTATGGATGGATGCATGATAGATCTTTTAAACATGTTTTAAAATCCAATATTTTGGGGGGAACATATCACATGAATCTTTGAAAAGCAGTGATAATCTCTGTGATGCTTGCAGAAATTGGTAAAAGTGCTAGTTGCAATCAGTCATGTGGCCTTTCATTATTCAAGTGTTATGTCATCGCCTGAGGTGATATGAATGCTATATAAACTCCAGCATACAAAAACATTGCTAAACAGTTATCACCTCTGTCTCTGCTGTCATGTAGATGCGATTAAAACAGCGTGAATGTTACTCATCGCCCGCGGCGCCAGTCTAGTCGCACATTCATTTATAATGAAGATGTTAAGCGTCTGAGAATATTGGCATCACGTGGAACCAGGGCACAAACTGTGTGTAGTTTCCTTTCTGCTCATCCACAGCATTGATTTATGATACAGTTATGCTTCAGCTGATTGGCTTTTTCAGGGTGTGCAAGAAGAAACTCAATCTCCAGTGAGTTTATGAGATCACTGTCTGAGAGGGAGCTTTGGATGATAACACTTTGCTATGGGGTAATAATTAGAAAATTGAATGTGAAATCAGACAGAGGCCTAATTTACCTGTCACGTTGATTGATTAAGCTGGAGGCTACAGCTCTTCTTCACTTTGTTATAAAGTGTGTAGAGTATGGAAATGCTGACCAGCACACACTGTCCTACTTAAAGGGATCCTGTTATGCTCTTTTTGAAAGTCTTGATTCTGTTTGGGGAGTGTAGTAAAACATGCTATCGTAGTTGTTAATTTGATTAAACGGATTATTTTGTACATTATTTACATTATTGTTATACCTTTCTCCCCAACCTGGCCACAACAGCTCATTTAGTTCAAAGTTAGATAAAGGCCCACCTTTCAAACAACTAAATGTGTTATGACTGGTTAGCTGTCCCAGTGCGTTGTGATTAACAAATAGCTAGACAGTGTTTCAGTACTGCCATACCCTATTCCCAAATTTTGGGAAAATTTCTGCGGAATTATTTTGGGAGTATCATAACTAAAACTTAATATGGAAAATAAAAGAAATAAAATTGCTTAGGTGGGAGTGGCAAAAGAAGAAAGGGTTACATGAAAAAAAGGGAGTTTCAGTATATGTACTACAGCTGATTTTCACAGTGGCAACACAGATGCAGGGGAGATAAACAGTGACTACATTTACATGGACATCAGTAATCAATTTATTTGCCTTAATCTGAATAAGACAATAATATAATTAAGGTGTTTGCATGAGTTGCTTTTTGAATGTTCCTTTCATGATTCCAAGTTTACATGTTATAGCACATAATTCCATTAACATCATTGCATCAATGCCACGCTATCCACATTTCCTCCAGAGTTTCATTTGATTTCTTAATTTGTGGACTTGAACTGCAGTTTGGCACTTTCACTTTCATTCAGGAACTTTTCTTTCATGCCCCTCTGTGACAAACAAGATATTTGATATTTCAAGCAAGGAACTTCTTAAGGAATATAGTTTTAATGGAATATTTGATACCATATGCCATATAGGAGAAGAAACTCCTCTGCATTTCTCAGTTAATGCAGAGTCTCGATAGGTGCAGAGAATAGTGTCAAACAGCCAAGTGTGTATAGACTATTCTGTCATAAAATGCGGCAAAAATCATACACAACGGTAATAGTTTGATAAGTTTGATTAGTTTTGTTTAACTAATTTTGTGTCAACTAAATCAGCTGATACTGAAGCTGAAAACTTTTCCTTTCTTGGTAAGTGTTGATACTTTTGTAAGGTAACTTTCCTTCAAAGTTAAGGTGAATATCTCAGAAAAAAAACCCTCAAACTAATGTTATTGACAACAAATAATGATTTTTAACAGTTTTATTGTTTAACATTAAACAAATCAATGTTTCAACAGCCATAATATCACCCCTTAATTTTTTTTTTACCAAAATTCCAGATAAATTAAGAGTTATGATTTTGAATTACTCACAAAATTTCGTTAATTTTGTATTAAACTGCTTTTACATAAATTTAAATTTCATGTAATACATTTGTGTCAGTCAAACAGGAAAGAGGAGTTATAACACTTATAAACTGCCTGTGTTTTTAATACTTACCACAGTTTTCAGATTTGCATGCATCAATTCAGTCTTGCATGCAAGGGAATTCAGTCTCCTACATTTTAATTAACCAAGTATTGTCATATTTTGTTTTTATAGTTGTAACAATACAACATAATTTTCCTCTAGACTTAAATCTTTTTATTTATAACATTTTTGCCTTAAATCATGTTTCTCAAAGGCCCAAGTTTGTAAATTCTAAATATTATAACTAAACTGAGTTTCATTTTAATGCTTCTAAATACACTTAATAAATAAACACATCACACCTATTAATAAAATAACCTAGAATTCTTAAGAATCACTTTCAGAATTAGGGTTGCACAGTTAATCGAATTTCTCATCATGATTAGAGATGTCATAATTACATAATCGTTTAAAGCTGTGATTACAAAAATATAATAATTTTATAATGATAATGATATATATTATGTGTGCATAAGTGTCAGATTCCCCTACTGCAGCATGTCACGTTTTTCCTACCATAAGGCCTTTTAATACCTCATGTTATTTACATGACAGCATGTCATTTCTGTCTCTATGCAGTTGCGTGTTTACACACTCTCTGTATTTTTGTATGACTTTGAATGTAGCCCATACACGTCCATGTGCATTTCACATGAAAAGTGAAAGTGGAAGTAAACATGTTAATAAGTGGAACTTCTGCTCTGCATTTTACTCATTCAAATGCACAAACACACCAACATGCACACAAACCCAGTGCTCATATATTGTAGTTATCATTATAGTTGCCTTCCTGGGGGAGAAAGGGAGCTTAAATCTTAACACATAGCATGTCTGCTAATAACAGTTTCAGTGCAAAACAGCAGCTCTCACAGAGCAATAGTGTGTGTGTGTCAGTGGGTGTGCCTGAATGGCTTTGTAGGTGTCCGGTTACAGTAGAAGCTTTAGGGAAGGGTGTGTGCTGGACCCAGAATAGTACGTACATGGGGGCCTCCTGTCATGTGAAAGCCTTTTAATCAATGTCTGCACAGTTGGCTGTGTGTGACCTACAGCCCAGCTGTCCCCTGCATAACATCACACTTATTGTATACTGTACAAATCAGTATTGGAAAGAGTACTGAAAAATCATAGTCAAGTAAAAGTTCCGTTACTTTCCAAAAATGTTGTGCATGTTGCCAAAAGTGTTTTTTACAACCATATTTTTGTTGCGTGTTAGCAGAGCACTTTAATCCACAAATGTAGGCCCACACGCAGCACTGCTCTCATAGCAGGAAAATGAAAACAAAACCTTTGTTGCGGCACATTTATGAAAGCAACACTGACGACCCATGTCTCCAAACAATTCTTCTTCTTCCACTCTTCCACTCCTTTTAAAAGGACTCAAGAGTAGTGAGGATTACATTAGCTGCGTCCCAAATCGCATACTTATGCACTATTCTACGCCATTTTGTAGTATAAACAGTGTAAGTAGTGTGTTCACACTGAAAACTCTAAAAATCATAAGTGCACTTTAATTACCCGGATGATGCACTCATTCAGCCGCTAAAATGAAGTGTGGAATGATGGACACTTCACGCACTCAACGACCGCAGGTTTGCATACGTAGCGGAAGGGGCGGAGCTATCGGACGCACATGTTGAA